ACACAGTGTACCAAAGTTCCCGCGCAACGATACTTATGAATATCCTGCTACGGGACATCATTATGGGCAAATGGGACTGTGCATCTCAATGGCTTACTCGGAACTCAAAAAAATTGGTAAATTTCTTGATCATCCATAGTGCTTTCAAATTTCAAAGTAACTCAAAAATATTTATGCAAACATGATTTTTCATCAAAATTTTGACAGGACTGCGCTGTGGAGAACTTTTGTTCCTGAGATTCAAGCTTTAAGAGCCTCTTATTTATCAGCTGGCTGATAGAAATCAAGTTGGAAAACGCAGCAATTTATAGCGTGCTTCTCCAGACAAGCAGCATTTGCCTTGACCAATAGTGGTGCATAACCTGGTGATCAGATTGCTGACAATCTTGACGTTTCTTTTGACTTCTGAAAGGACTTTCCAGCTCAACGATTATCCAACAAAATTGCTTGACAAGATTTTAGTCATTTCGATATGTTCTTGGTATGTGTTGAACTCCACCACCTCATAGGAAAAGTTAGATTTATCGTGAACGGAGCCCTTTATCTGAAAATTGCTCTGGACTGGAAAGGAATCGAACTACTCCCCTTGACGTCCAAACTCAGTGAGGTACCCACTGTACCGCCGGTTCTTGTACTCCAGGTTCACCCTGGTGTGCATCTACTGTGTACCTGCCTTTCAATGCAAGATATACCTTTCTTTTCCTCTTCTCCTTCTCTTGGCCGGCTTTTCGCGAGTCTTCTGCGACAAGATTACTTGCATTCAACCAGTTATTTTACTGATTGGGGAAGCGTATTAAAAAACAGTCGAGAAAGAATTACAGAATTCAGTGAGTTTTGGGAATCCCAAAGTATTTCGCATTTCATCCTCCACAGCTTCCTTTCTTGCAGCTGTTCAACTGTACTATAATCAACTCTTCATCTACTCGCACAATCTTCCTGTTCCGGTGGCTGCTGATATTCCACTTCTCGTTAAAGTGAGTTGTTTCATTTCTGTACAGTATTTTGCTATTGCCATAATTGTATTGAACATATTTACGCTATGGCGAGCTTCACACCGACAAATCGAGCGGACCCGATATTCTTGGTGGAAGAAAAATGGATTACTTTACTTTCATGACGGAGTAATCAAGCGGGATGCATCGGAAACGGTTAAATTTTCTTCGAATCAATGAGGCAAAAAAGGGTGTCTGCACCATTTTCTGGAAAGCATACGAGAATCGCAGCAGCAAGTTGTGGGCGTTACACTTGAAGCTTACCTGCTATTATTTGTTTCCCAATTATTAGCAGTTGATATCTGGGATCTGTGAATCCTCATTTTTTGTCCAGATGAAGCTGGTACTCGTTAAGCAAAATTTTTTCCTCCCTGTCTCTCTGATCGTTTTTTGCAAACAGCGCAAGAAGCTTTCTTTCCGCTTTTACAGGTTGTATCAGGAGAGCATCAGCAATCTGCCCCATTTATTAGTCGG